GAAAGCGTTCTCACTGCTCCTCGCTGAAATCTCCAAGATTTTCAGGAATTCGATCAAGGTGGCTATGAAGGAGATACATCTTAATGCTCATGTTGTATTCAAGTTGCTGAAAGTATAGTACTAACTGATTGACGTGGTCAGGAAAATTGACGGACTACTTATTTCCCAAAAAGTTTTTTACGAACCAAACAAACTCATTCCAGGCATTTTTTTCAGTGTTTGTCATACTTTCAGTAAAATTTACATCGTTTGTTATTTTTTTAAGTTGTGGTCTATCGAAAATTTCACATTTTAACTTTTCCACACTCAATTTTCGTAACGATCCATTCGTTGAACATTTTCATGCGGACGTACTGTAGTACAGTACCTGAGATGTACATGGTTGGGGTTTTAGTGTATCAGTTGAACGCAGGACAGGTCTAGTAACTGACGGCACATTAGAATAAACCCACTTAGAATGATTTGAGCGGTTAATTCCTGTTATGTTTACAATGCAGAAATAACAGTCGTCGTGGTGGTTTGACGGTTCCCGCCAAATCATAGGACTAATAAGGTTCAAGGGATCCCTCTTGTTATTTTTCCATAATTGTAAAGACTCCACACACGTTTTACACACTATATTCGGTATCCAGGGCTTGTTATTTGTTTCCAACAGCCGTTGAAAGTACTCCAAATAAGTAGGCATTTTTCACGAAGTCTGACACATTTAAATGGGATTTTTTGAATGTATATCTGCCACAAATGTGACAAATCTATTTGGATTGTTTACACAGGTCCTTCTAGACGAAGTCATTGCAAAAAAAGAAAGAGAAACTAGTAAGACGTTGACGATAGCGATAACAGCAGTCAAATGGAGAGTACATTTTAAGAGGGTACCTGTATCTCATAAACTAGAGCTGCTAGAAAAAATCTGAGGATAGATTTAAAATCAGCGAGCCTAAATTAATAAACAACAAGTGAAAAATCTCATGCAACAAAAAAAAAGTTCAATTTTGTTGTGCAGTGTTATAAATGCGAAAGTTTGGATGTCTGGATGAATGTTTGTTACTCTTTCACGCAAAAACTACTGAACGGATTTTGATGAAACTTTACAGTATTATCTATACTAATTTTATAAAGAGGTAAAGAGTGTGTGTTTGTATAATTGTTAAATTGTAAGGGGTAATCTCCGGATTTACTGAACCGATTTTAAAAATTATTTCACCAATAGAAAGCCACATTATTGCTGAGTGCCATATAGGTTACATAAAAAACCGTAAAATTCCACGCGATCGAAGCCGCGGGCGGAAAGCTGGTTATTTATAATAACATAATAGATATGCTATAATTTATGACGATCTGTGACAAACTAAATTTCACGCGGGTGAAGCCGCGGGCAAAAGCTTGTCTGTAATATAAGTTTTATTTGCATTACAAAACTAACTAAATTAACATTCTTATTAAAAACAATGTACACTTTTTACAGACCACTAGCAATGAGGAAAGATGGCATACAGACTAGGAAGCGAAAACCCAAGAAATCCGGTAGCGCAACAAAACCACCTCAAGACGCAGCCAAGAAAGAAGGACACAGCTCACCTAGTCTAGATGGTAAGAAAGAAGATTATTACCATAGACCTTATAGACCTTAATATTTTTCTATTCGTTATGAACAGTTGTCAAAGTAAGTCGATCTATCTACTATCCAATCAGAATAATTATGCAATCCAATCCAACCATATCTTCCTTAGCAGCACATAATGTAGTTTAAAAAGGCCCACTTAGTACATAATCTCGAAACGTAATTCTTGAGTCTAGAAATGCTCTTAACCTCCAGACAATAAATGGTATTCTAGTCATTACCGCCCAAAGTCCTACTAGTAGTATAAATATTTTATAGTCATTCAGACCCAACAGTTCAGATTTGTTTCTAGTCTATTCTATAGATTTATTTATTCTAGAGATAAAGTAATCCTATTAAAATCAAGCATTCAGGGCATGGTTGGTAGTCATGACTTTAGGATAAAGTTTTTTTTTTTGGGTATTGTAAGGTATAATTCATTTGAACCTGAAAGATGTTTTCTAAATAGTCCTATAGGTAGGCCCTTGGTTTTGTAATGACGTCTACATAGCACCTAAGAGGTTCGGGTCTGAATAACTATAGTGTATTAATACTACTAGTAGGACCATGGGCCTTACGAGGTTAAAATTAAGAACGTTTACCTACGGAGGACTCATGTACTACAAGTTGACATCCAGCTGTGTCGCTGCAGCAGTAGAAACGCTCATCGAAAAACATGGTGTGTTCACAGACAGCAAACCGAGCATCGCGGAAGTGCCGCTGCCGCTGACGTCGTCGATGTCGCACGGCGCGGCGGGCAAGCTGCGCGAGCACGAGGCGGCGCACGCGCACGGCGCGCAGCACGCGCAGTACCCGCTGGCGCTGTCGTCGCCGCCCTTCCTGTCCAACCCCTCGCTGTTCAACATCAAGAGCGAGCCCAGCGCGCCCGCCGCCTACGACGGCTACGCGCACTCCGGCCCGCACTACCACTCGCAGCAACATTACTTACACGCTCTGCAGGTTTGGAACTTTCCTTCGTTCCTCTCGGCCAAATGACGTTCACGATAGTACAAAAGGTCCTGACCTGCCCGCATTCAGGTGCTTCCCGCGACTTTCACCAGTTCATCGGCCCACTTAGAAACTTTACCTTATTCAAAAATGGTAGCCTTCAATTCTATAGAACCTTCTCTCTTCACGGGACCACGATAAATACAGGGTAAAATTTAGTAACGCCACCTGGAGGGAAAGCACTCTTAATACTGTTAATAGAAAATTTTACTCAAGAAAACTTATTTTTGAAAAGAAATACATAGTACTGCATTCAAAGATTTCCAATTTTTTTTCCAAAATTAACCACCATACCATAGAATTTTCTGTAAATAAATAAAATAATTTAAGATTTCATGGTTTTCCTTTCATTTAATTTATCAAGTTTTTGGGTAAGATTTCATCCTTATACTTAACCTTAACGAACGATGCAATAAAAATACAGAGTGTAATTTTTAAAACAGATTTTAGTAAGATCGATTCCCGGGTGTGGCAAGCAAATTTTTGAAAATCTGTGAATGCAGTTATATGTCTTTTTAAAAATAAAGGAATGATTTCTTTGAGTAAAATTTTCCATCTACAGTATTAAGAGTAATTCCGACAATACACAACCTTTTCAGCAGCTTAAATACCTACGCTACAGTCCGAATCAACAGTCTTATTTATTATTTATACTATGTGGTATGGGCCTACAGTATTTGTTATTCCGAAAACTGAGTGGCGTAATTGATAGACGTGTGAAATGTTAATGGTTCCTTGGCTAGTTACCCAGTAGAAAAACTCCAATATAGAAAAAGATAACAACGATATTTGACTTAATTGGAAAGAGCTTTTTGTAGACTGCGTAACATCTAAAGAATCCTTCGAAAATATCCGTTGACACCCTCGGTAACCTACAAGGTGGACCGACGACATCGTAAAGGTAGCAGGGAAGCGCTGGACGCAGGTCGCTACCAATCGATCAACATGGAAAGCATTGGGGGAGGCCTATGTTGAAATGATGATGATGATGATGATGACCCTCGGTAAAACAAAAACATCTCCGTACTAGATCACATACCAACTTTTGTTAAAATAAATAATGAAGTTTTCACCGGATTTCAAAACATTGAACGAACATGGCTAGGCGAAAAATACTCATCTGCGGGTAGGGTGCAAGTATCTCATCATCTAAATACCAATTTTAAATTCCAGTACGGGCTAAGCAATGGAGAAGAAGAAGAAGGCAGCGGCTTCCTGCACCAGCGGAACGTTACCGCGCACGCCAAGCTCATGGCGTCCACGTAGCACCTCGCGCCTCGCGTCGGAGGAGCTACCAGTGGAAGAATAATGCCGCGCGTGGCGTGGCAGCGAGCGGCCGACTGTACCAGCATAATGCACTCCGTGCTTGGTTACACAATCAAAGTTGTTGGACAATTTTATGCTCCCGACAACCTGAACATTTATACAAGTTCCGCTTTTTTAATATTCTTACAAAAATGAAGAACCTAGAACCTTACGAAATAATGTACAAAGAATGTTCAACACTACGCCAGATCAATTCAGCGATATGCTTAGATTAATAATCCGCGATATGGCACAAAATTTCTTAGTTAATTATCTCGCATTTAAGTTGTGTGATGCGATTCAAGCGAATATCCAGTTTTCCAATGTGATACAATTATTAATATAAAATTATTCATTAGTGTATAAATAAATATGTATACATAATGTACATGTACGACTAATGTCATTAATCATAATGTTTTATATATTTAGACATAACATTATAGTACACAGTGTTAAAAATTTACGCAAACCTTTGATTGTTAAATCAACATTTTCCATTTCATTACGTTACACCTTAAAATAATAAATACGCCATGATTTTTGCAATAATTACACACTACATGGCACAATAAACACGAACTTTGTAAATAATATAATTTAGATTACAGTTGTATGATATAGGATTAGAAGAAGGCTGTATGTAGGCGTATTACTGACTGAAATGAAAATTACGCAAGTATTATAATATCCTAGTATATAGGAAAGATTGCCTAGTATCTAATTTCATTCCCCACTGAACTAGTCTTACGATTTCTCAATATTGCATTTCCTTAACCTGGGGAAGAATAATCTTCAATACTGCCTTATGTAAATAAACTAGATCTTATATTCTTTATAATCAGTATTCTTAAATATTATCTAAATAAATATTATACCAATATTATGAACTATAATTGTGTTCACTGGCTATCAGAAATTTATTAACTAACAAATTATTTACAATTCTTTATTATCTGTATCACTATAGTCTATCTCTGTGAGTTCGACTTTTGAACATGTGAAGTACTTATAAGTAAAATAAATGGCATTTATTAAATAGATGTAAATATTAGTGTTAAGCTAGACAAAAATTATACGAAATAGATTTAGTTAAATAGTTTATTTTATATCAACCCTGCATCGATTTTATCACAGAATATTGCTTTGGCTAAGCCGGGTTTATATGGGTCGATGGTTAGCGCGGGGCAGACTTGAAAATAGGTCATGGGAACTGTCGCAGTGTTTAGGCTTGATCTACACAGAAATTAAGACGCAGATTATGATACTACAAGTTTCATCTACTTAATATTATCGTGCGCTGTGTTTGACTGTGTGTTTAATGTTTTAAGATTTCATTGACTGGTTTGTTAAAAACCTAAATATGTACTAATCATTATGTTTCACCCATTTTAATATTACCAATTGTAACTTGAACCATGTAAACCCAGCTCAAGTGGGATGTGACCGAAAAAAAAACTGTACAAAAGGTAATAATAACAAAGTGAAATAAATATTTGAGCACATGGGAGTGTGTTTGTCAAGCCTCGCCCCCCTCGGCCGACGCGTTCTGCAGAGCCTCGCCCGCGAGGCGGTAGTAGCACCACTGCTCCGCGGTGGTCAAGTTGACCGCCCCCTTGCCCTCATAGAACGAGCGAGCGGGATTCCATTCTAAGACATGGAAGTCTAGACGCGAGCAGCCGGTAGATGATGCTTCCTGTTATAGTACATAACTTTGTAGTTTATTTTGTTTTGCTATCATTAAACAGTTTATTAGCTTTATCTTAAGACTAAGTTAGTTATTTATTAAATTATGAAATAACATAATATGGATGCTTAATAATTTAAGGAGTTAGTGATGTTATTTACTATTACAGGAAAAGCAAAATAACAAAGTAAGCGGCAAACCTATAGTGCAATTTATGAACAGTGTACATTTCAGAGAGCGGTGATTCCCACAATTCTGATCTATCTTATATCCAGCTACTGTGACGATAAATATTATAGTCGTAATAGTTTATAGAATCAGCATTTAAAACTAAATGAACAGTTTACTAGAGCAAATGCATAGTTACCTTAGCGACCGCGTTGAACAGCCTCTTGCCGACGCCGCGGCGCCGCTCGCTGCTGCGCACATACAAGTCCTCCAGCATCATGGAGCGGCCCTCCCACGTGGAGTACGTGGGGAAGTACAGCGCGTACCCCACCAACGGCTGGCTGCCAGTTTTGTCGTTCAATTCGGCGATCTTGCACCGAAACGCTGGGGGGTTTATTTCAAACCCATCATGCTCCAAGTCTGCAAAATCACAAACCACCTACGTATAAAGAGATCTACATAAATGAAGTTGTATGAATGGATTAAACTATTACAGAGATTTTTGGGGCGCTTCTTCTCAACATTTCGCAAATGTTAGTCCTGAGGCGCTGGTATGGTAAAAAGATTATGACATGTAGAGGCTCCTTAGGAGCAAAATATTTGATGATTTGTAAGTATTTTTTAAATAAGTATAGACTATACCTACAAATAAAGAAATTTGGACTTTGACTTAAAGTGAATATATTTTGAATGGAAAAGATCACAGACCTAAGTAAGTATTTAATAACAACGACACAAATATTATTAACTGGTTGACCTGGCGAACTTCGCACCGCCATGGTTGTCATTGAGGCCACTGTCAATGCTACTGTATGGCAAACTACCCGCAGTTTGTTATGGCGCATCCACACATGCCGGGTGGCACGACCGACCGGCAGCCAACCCGGCGGCACCCGGCGGCATGTGTGGATGCGCCATTAGATAGTACACTAAAACATTACCCTTCAATATTGGTATTGCGGTAAAAAGTAACCTTAAAGTTAATCCAGGGTGTCAGCTACCTCCACACATAATTTTAACAAAATCATAGTCTAGTAACTCGACTTTGTTTTAGATAAACAGAAAATTACAGTTTTGATAATGATAAGAACTAGCTTATCTCACTGATAAGTACACAGTGATTACAGCATATGAATGTACAATAAAATCTAGCGCGTATTTTTCCTTTGACCGGCTTTTACAATAGGTTATGTTTACAAACCTCTTACTGACATTTTCGGGCCGCTAGGCATCTTTTCGAAATCGGCAAGTTCCTAAAACGAAAAAGTGAACAATCAAGTACTTATTTACATCAAGTAAATCCTTAAAAACTTAATTTCACACTGTTTTTATTTTTTAGTTTTGCAAATATTTACTTACCTGGATCATTTCAGCGACCGCTTTCATGTCTTCTTTATTTGCAGCTCGAATTTGTATTTCCTTGTCGTTATATTTTTCGGTACTCATTTTTAGGATTATGGTTTCAATAGATTTATATTTTTTAGCGAATAAAAATTGATAAAATATAATTTCGACCGCACACACACACAGAAGCAGAAGCAAACTTTTTTGAATCACAGCCAGTGTTACCAACTCTCAAAAATATTTAACCATAAACCAAAGCATAAACTAAACAAAAAAAGAACTTTTTTCATAAAATCTCAGACCAAGGCAAGGTTATAATATAGTTCCAAAATACTGAACTGTCCTGTCCATGACATTGACAGCGGGGCGCCACCGTCTATACCGGATCGCTGGTTCCGATTTTTGCCATGTTGGAAACCATATAGTTGAACGATGGTAGCGCCCCCCTGTCATTGAGTTTGGTGGGACAGTTTAGCGTGGGTCATCTATAATAAACTTGTTAGCCGCGGCCGCGTATAAACAAAGCCACCGTCAATATAGTTCCAAAATACTGAACTGTCCTATGCATGACATTGACAGTGGGGCGCCACCGTCAATACCGGATCGCTGGTTCTGATTTTTGCCATGTTGGAAACCATAATATAGTCGAACGATGGTAGCGCCCCCCTGTCATTGAGTTTGGTGGGACAGTTCAGCCCCCCTAGACAAAACGCACTTTTTGATCGAATCGAAAATCGAATCCGTCAAAACTCCATACAAAAAAGGGGCTTTTCGACCACTTTTCGACTGGTTTGCGATTATAATATGCACTTTGTCTAGACCCACAGCGTGGGTCATCTATACCGTCAATACCGGATTGCTGGTTCGCACTTAGCTTCATGTTGGAAACTACTATATGTAGAACGATGGTGGCGCCCCCCTGCCAATGTGTTTGGTGCATAGGTTTGGTGGGTGGTACAGTTAGTTCTTAAGAAAATCTAAAATATTTTATTTTATTTCGACCACTGGTTGAACGTCAAAATATAGTAAACTAGCTTTCCGCCCGCGGCTTCGCCCGCGTGGAATTTTGTCTGTCACAGAAAAACTTTATCGCGCGCGTCCCTGTTTCAAAAACCGGGATAAAAACTATCCTATGTTCTTTCCCGGGACTCAAACTATCTCTATGCCAAATTTCATCAAAATCGGTTGCGAGGTTTAAGCGGGAAAGCGTAACAGACAGACAGACAGACAGAGTTACTTTCGCATTTATAATATTAGTTGGGATAAAAAAAGGTGGCCCTTATGGGGCACTTTACATGACGTCTCCTTTTGGGTCCTACCAGCGCTTCGAGACAAAATTTGTAAAGTCATGCTGTATGTCGGAGCTGGTGCTGGCGTCTGTCCAGCACGAGCATTGACTGAGAACTTGTGTGATTGATTAAGTATTATTATAGAGGCATTAGGTACACCTCAATCTATGCTGTTGATCCTTCCTAAGCACAGACACCAGCGGTCGGCATTAAAAAATAATATTTAATTATTGTAATAACTTTATTCAGTAATATAAGTATTATACAAATACTATTATCTGTAACGTTAAACATTAATTACATACATGTAATTACACTTTCAGTCGGCTTAAGTTGATAACTAATAAAGGAAATTAACATTTATTCCAGTATAAAAATACAACTTTCTGTTACCGTTACATTATTATTAATGCATAGTTAGATTGTATTCTATTATTTTCTTCTAATATAATTTATGATACAGTGAAAATGCAAGACAAAGGTTATTCTTCTAATATTTACATTAATACGTATGTAATATACATTATTACATATTTATTACCTTTACTATCGTAAAATTTACTCTAAATAAAATATAAAATAATTAATTCTTTCTAATTAGATTAATATAGTTATTGCTTGGAGCTGGTTTAGCAAGAAAATAATAATATTTTATTTTATAGTTTAATGTACTTTATAGCTGGGACCTACTATGCATATCCTTCTAACTAGTCCAAAAATTAGGATCGTTTATGCTGAGTTAGATAATATTCATGCATGCATGAGACTCCCAGAATGAGAGCACGCGGGTGAAGGGAGCAATGAATGACATGCTACTTTACATCTTTAGTAAAAACTTGACAAAAAATACATTTTGGACATTGAGAGCCCGACCTAGATCTGGATGTCAGTGGTTTTAAATTAAAATATACATATCTTCAAAAAGATATCGCGGGAATGATACTCGGGCTTTCACATGTCAGCACGGGATCTGTCAGCGTTTTGGTCAAAAAGCATCAGTATCCTAGATAATATTTTGAAGTGATTAAAAAATCGAAAACTAATAAAGGTTAGTAACTGACATTAACACTCCTGCACATAATACATTTTATCGTCACAAAAATAATATTTATCGGTCTGTTCTTTATTCTCATTGTTTATTATGATGATATACGATATTTAAAAATTATATTATCCTACCATTTCCAGCAATAAAAATAAAGCTATATAGTTTCAGTAGTTTTCCTAGACAGATCTAATATTAAACATAAATCTTTAAACATCCGAAGAGGAATACCATCAAAAGTACAAATCAAAATAACGTGACGACTACCAATGACGGTGCGAACACTTCGGCTCAAGCTGCGGTAGGTGCAGTCATCGTCAAATAGTTCGTGACACCCCACGTGTAATTGTTGCAATGAGGGTTTTCGCGAATGAAAGATCCGCTAGATGGCGGGACGTGGATGTGGGGTCTGACTGCTGCGTGATTGGTGGATTTTGACATATCTGTCAATGCCATGTCAAAAATAACCAATCATGCAGCATTTGGACCTCGCGTCTACGTATTGCCATCTGGCGGATTTTTCATTCGCGAAAACCCTCATTGGAATAAGGTTGTGTTGTCAACTTTTTGGCCACTTCAGGTGTCACAAACTATTTGACTGTACCCAAAGCGCTTGAAGTACGTCAAAAAGTTTATGCTGATAGGTAGAATCGATTAATGAGCAAAATACTTGATAGAAAATTAATAAAAATATACTCATTAAGTGTTTTTTGCACGTAAACATTACTTTATTTACTTAACAAGGAACGTAGACAATGTCAGACGGCCATATAGTTTGCCCGCAATATTTTGCTACCGCAGTGAATTTTCTTTTTTCTCTTCGTGATTTCGAATTCTTTGCTCTACGTTTTAATTAAACCAGTATGAAAAAAAATGCTAAGGCTGGATTGCACCATTTTACTTTGACTTCAACAAACGTCAAAAAGCTGCCAAACTCCATACAAAAAACACCAGTAATTATCGTTATAGTTTCGGTTATTATTTGGTGGAGCAACTCAGCCTAAAACTGAAATCTTTTATGCCAAGTGAAGTCACGCTAAGAACTGAGATGGTTTTCTTGTGTAATTTTCACCAAACTCGCTTCGCTTCACTTCACCTATGATATCATAATTAGAAGATTATTTGAGATCGACCTATTAGACTTTTTAACGCACTGATCACGCAATCCTGTCGTCACAGCAAGCGGTGGTCCGGCCGGCGCGGCGAGGCGGGCTCAGTGCGGGAACTCGGCGCGCAGGTTGAACTCGGCGTAGGCGCTGGACCACGACGTGGCCGCCGCGCTGGACTGCGACGCTGCGGGCATACGCGTGGGAGGCGTTAACGTACGCACTTCTTGCCATGCGAACCGAAGTACTTTGTTTTATACTCGAAATAATTTGCGATCGAAACTTACATAGTTGTGCGATAAGTTTTTGCGGTACGGAGATAGGCGTCGAACGTGAATCTGGACTTCTGTCGTCCTTCGAGTCCGTATCTGGAAAAAGTTAACATTTTTAATTAGAATCAGGGACAATGTTTTTCTACAGGTGAATAGTGATTTAAGCTCAAAGGATGTGCTCACTATGAATTTGTCACTTTTTTAACATACGACTCGTCATTAAGGTCAAAAAGTTACAGGAGGTTGCATCTCAACCGGCGTTAAAGATCCTAGGGTTAAAATAATTTCTGATGGATGGCCAAGGTACTGGCCAGGCGGCGAGGGTACCGGCCAGGCGGCGAGGTTACTGGCCAGGCGGCGAGGGTACTGGCCAGGCGGCGAGGGTACCGGCCAGGCGGCGAGGGTACCGGCCAGGCGGCGAGGGTACCGGCCAGGCGGCGAGGGGACCGGCCAGGCGGCGAGGGTACTGGCCAGGCGGCGAGGGTACCGGCCAGGCGGCGAGGGGACCGGCCAGGCGGCGAGGGTACTGGCCAGGCGGCGAGGGTACCGGCCAGGCGGCGAGGGTACCGGGCGGAGGGTACCGGGCGGCGAGTACTGACCGGGCGGGCGGCGCGGGCCCTGCGCCTGCGCCTTGAGCAGCTTGCTCATGGTGTTGCGCGGCGTGGGCGGCGGCCGCTCCAGCGCGCGCCCGTGCACCACCGACATGTGCCGCTCCAGCATGTACCTGCAACACGCCGACACGAGAACAAAATTAACGGTGCGAGAATGCGTAGCGAACTTGTGAATAGACGACACTACCGTTTGTCAGTCGTATACCTCGAAATCAAAAAAGCCTTGTAGCTTTTCACCTATTCGCATTTCACCGTGATAGCGTTTTTTGTTGAAGCGTGTAATATCGGTAGTATATTTTGTTACTAGCATATATTTTGAACAGTAGCAAATTTTAATGTAGCATGTATTATCAATATTATCGACTACAGTGAAGACAGGCAGGAAAGTAAATCTACTATGAATTTTTTAGACAGTTGTAATTAGCGATCAAAAATTATACTACAAGAATAAAAATCTATTCAGAAATTTTAATATGCGAAATGCGAATAGGTGAAAAGCTACAAGGATTTTTTGATTTCGAGGTATACGAGGTCTGAGCGGTGCAGATATACGTATAATGAGATGAAGAGGGTGCTGACCTGCGCTCGAAGCGGTCGGGGCAGAAGGGGCAGCGGAACAGGTGGCGGCGCGGCAGCTGCGGCAGCGCGGCGCCCGCGCCCGCCTCGTGCGACTTGCTGTGCGCCGCCAGGTTGTACCTGCACGCAACGACGAACGTTAGACTCTTCTTCTTCTTTTTTGATGATGTTGGCAATACACGTTGAGGTCGACTTGATTTGTGCCATTTTCAAGTATTTATGTGATACAAGTTACAAAATGAGATCAAGTAATGATATAATGAAGGATGATAGAGTAAAGTTGTGGCGCTTTACTGAGACCTCCTATGGACAACTGGAGAGAACCAGAAGAATCACGATCCACTGTTTTGCTTCACTTGCCCACACTCATGCACGTTCACGAACACTCTATGGTTAATAATCCCCCATTATTACACATTAATAGTCGCCCAAACACGAATTAGAGGAAATAAAACAAAACCGCTAACATGACGCTTCAGATTCCCGCCAAGAAGTCCCACGTTAGACTCGTTCGGCCCCGCGCGGTTTCTGGGCATTTCTCATTGGCGAGGCGCCGAGGCGGTACCGGTGCAAATGTATGAGAACTGCCCAGCAGCCGCGCAAATATCGCTGTGTCTGAACCGGGCCTCGGGCTCGGTTACCACCAAAGCGGAGCGAAGACGAGGAGTATCAGTGTATTGTTGTCATAATTATTATTATGACGCCTTCAGGGAGAAGGCGGCGGAGGACGAGGTGAGTCCGCCCGACGCGTCTCGTATCCGCTCTGTAGGCCTAAGATGCGCGCCGTGATAACTTTTATCGACGTCAAAATGTATTGGTAAAATCAATAAAATGGCGTGATGACCGCTTATCGCGGCGCGCATCTTAGGCCTACAGGTGAAAGCCTCGTAGTTACCGCTCGGAGAAGCGCTTGCCGCAGATGGTGCACTCGTGGCGCTTCTCGCCGCTGTGCACGCGCTTGTGGCGCTTGAGGTGCGAGCGCGTCATGAGCGCCAGCCCGCACACGTCGCACGCGTGCGGCTTCACGCCCGAGTGCGACAGCTTGTGCATCTTGAACGAGCTCGTGTGGATGAACGACTTCCCGCAGAGGTCGCACTGCAAACAGAAACGTTCGATTCGTAACGGTCGGAGGCCGAGACCGCGAAGGTCGGTCGTCGAATTTCAGTCACCTGATAGTTGAGCTTGCCGGTGTGGATGTTGTTGTGCCTCTGAAGCGCGCCCTTCGACGGAAACAGTTTATTGCACTCTTCGCACTTCCAGTCGCTGATGCCTGAGGGGATAAGTATACGAGTGTCGCTTTAGGGCGAGCGGGCAGTGTGTCGCGTTGATAAAATTATGTTTTACTTGGAAAAATGAATCGTTGGGTAGGTGGATTCGTGTTTGTCACAGTGCACGGCGTTACCTTTGTGCAGCTGGATGTGTATGTCGCAGGCGCGCTTGTGCTTGTAGTGCGCGCCGCACACCTCGCAGATGTAGGGCGGCTTGGAGCCGTCGTGCTTCAGCTTGTGCTGCTCCAGCCGCGCTGCCAACAACCACACGCGATTACATAATCAGCTTTAACAATATGACACAGCCAATGTGAAGCAAATCTTCCTTTGAAGTTTTAGAAATAGGAACTCACCGAGCGACGCATACTTGGCATCGCACTCGTCGCATTTGTGCAGCACTTTACTCTCTCTCGGTTTCCTCGGCTTCTTCTGTACAGGCGCCGCTTTGCTCTTCAGTCTGCCCAGCACTAACTTATTCTTCTTGGTGGATTTTCCATCCTCCTCGTCGGGAACAAAATTAGAACTGTCGTCGTCCTCACCGATGCCATCGCCGAAATCGTCAATGTCCATATCCATTTCTATCTTTGGTTCAAAGCCATTATACTGGTTTTGAGATCTGCGATAAAAAAATAAGTACCGTACAGTTCTCGTTCCCGCCACTATAATTTTTTGTACATATTCACTTCGCTCGGTATGATTTCTTAACTGAATTGGTACCAAACGTTAGTTCGTTCAGGCTTCCAGATTAATATCAAAAGAAAGTTTTTGGGGGTGTATCAAAGAAAATAGGTGTTCGGACGTAGCTGAGACGGGTGAAGGATACATTACCCGTCGCTAGAGTCCTCCTTCTTGACGGTGAGCGCGGCGGCGTCGTCCATGACGTGCGCCGCGATCTTGTGCGCCGCCTCCGCGTCCGCGCCGCCCGCCGCGCCGCGCGCGCCGCACTCGCCGCATTCCCAGCTGACAAACAAATCAAATACTTTTTTTAACTCACTCAACAAAAACAATGCAATGATATAAAACTCACACTCATGAAATGTAAAGATTTTCAAAATCTATTCAGTAGATTTAAAGATTACCTATAACCCTATAACCTTCTTCTTCTTCTTTTATTATGGCAACGACTTGGTATTGAGAACTGGTGGTGGTGGTGATGAGAAGTGGTGGGTATAACCTCATAAACTTTACTTCATTACACAGTTTTCATAGTAAGTAATTATAGTGACATCAGCAGCGGATTATCGAACAAGAAAATAATTAATAATTTATTAATAAATTGAAAGTTTGAAATACCTCTCATCCTGGGGTTGTTTGACTTTCGTCTTCCGTTTAACTGGAGTTGGTTTTTTTCTCTTTTTTGCAGGTTTGCGCCTCTTTTTCTTGGTCAAAGACAGGGGCTCATCTTCAGAGTCTAAGTTGTCGTAATCATCAAATGAAGCATTGATGTTCTGACCACCCAATTCATTTTTAACAGATTCTAGCCGGATTGGCTGCACTGAACTCATTTGAAATAGGGGGTTTTTACTGATGATAGATTCGAATGTCTCTTTGAGTTTGTTATACTCGATTTCTGCCTGTTCCAGCACGTTGATGAGGTCGAAGCAGCTTTTGCACACATACTTGGGGGTTTGCTGCGCGCTGCCGAGATCGTTGTTCGTAAATTTCGACAGGAAACTGTGCAGCGACGCGCCTGACGCACTCGTTTTAGTGCAGAACACATCATACGAGTCTTTGCTTCGGACTGCACACACCAAGCACTCGTGAGGTTCCGGTTTCACCAGCACTTCTACCTCCTTCTTAATGGAAATTACAAGGTCCTCCTTGGTGGTCAGCAAGTCGTTATGTTGGCCTGTATTCTCCGATTGCCCAGCACTTTCAGCCATTCTGAATTACGCTAGCGTGACCGAACCGCAACAGTGTTTGATAAATTTTCACAATTTTTACAGCATATTGGTAAGCAGTTTGTCGTATAATGTGACCAAATCCGAGTAAAATAAATCAGTAATACAGATTTTTGATCACAAAAAGTAAAACAAAAAGCCGTGTGACAAGCAATTGACTCGACAAACAAGGAATGTGACAGTTTACTTCTTCTTCTTATTTGGTTGATGGCAATGTACTTGCGTTTTTTCGCCACTGCAGCACTGATGCAGATGTGACAGTTTTTTTTATGATTATTTTTTAAGTTACAAATTTTCTCAGAACGGAATTTTTATAAAATGTGATTGAACGTTTTCTATAAAAAATCAGATAGATTATGAGACATGTAGAGGCTCCATGAGCAAAATATTTGACGATTTGTAAGCACTGTCTATACAAATAAAGAAATTTTGACTTTGACTTTGACCATGTTTGACTTTGATAAGATTTTTAAAAAAATAGACATTAGTCCTCATTATAGCCTGACCAGGAACATAAAAACCCTCGCCATGTTGCGGAAAATTAATGGTACTAATTTCTTTTAATGGCAACAGTATAGTTCCAAAATACTGAACTGTCCTATGCATGACATTGACAGTGGGGCGCCACCGTCAATACCGGATCGCTAGTTCCGATTTTTGCCATGTTGGAAACCATATAGTTGAACGATGGTAGCGCCCCCCTGTCATTGAGTTTGGCGGGACAGTTCAGCGTGGGTCATCTATAACTGAAAACTTCATTGACATGTCACTTTGCATGTCAGTCTATTGCTGTCAAAGTGTAAACAAACTTTATTTTAAATGTGCGCAATTGATTTTGTGAATTAAATTGCTAAAATATTTTTATAGTCGTGAAAGAAAAGTGGTTCACAATGTGTTAAAGTATTTGTCGCAGACAAATACTAAGGGTTCGGACAATATTTTCATTGAATAATGTTTCCGACAAAGGTTGTCAAATTGACTGACATGTTTATCGTATAGTACAGTCCACTATGAAAATTAGCTGTGGTTTGTTTCAACTACCTATTTTAATTTTTTTTGTCACTTTCTAAGTGTTGAATTTTATGGAATTGGGAAAGAAGTACCGAGTTTGAAGCGTTCATGAGCAGACATTGCAGTTGAATATTCAAGTTCTGAATTTGATTATTGATGAATAATAAAATAAATCCTACTAGCTCGATTGATGGTTTCATTTAATTTATTTAAACCAGGTTACCTATAATAATATTTTTTCGTTAATTTATGAAAATATCAAATTAGCCCGTAATCCTAAATCCTGATACATAAAGTTAGCCTATTAATTTAACACAGGTACGATACGACTGTACTCAGTGTTGCACTATCAAATGCAATTGACGCGCCTCTATGCCAGGGTTTTTATGTTCCTGGTCAGGCTATTGTACTGTGATATAAATAAATAAATAAATTATTGATGTATACAATTTGCGCGTATGCACCGCCATCTATTGAGGATAATATGAACAAATAAATAAAAAAAGAACTTTAGCCTTTGAGATGCGAATTGCGATTAATTAAGGGGCACTTTAAAACACTTCTTTTTGAGACAAATTAAAAAGATATTTTTTTTAATTACCTACATGACATCTGGGGGCACGGCAGTGCCCCCGCCAAGTCGAGCGCGATAAATTTTATTGAACCTATTTACCGTGCAACAATGAGTCAAAACTAAGGAATAAAAATTAAGGCGATAGGTATAATATGGCCAAAATGTACAATGCTGCTAGGTGATGTAGTTTCTGTACCTACTTTCCGTGCCTTTAACGCGGAAAAGTCGGGTCATTTCCTTATTTTTATCAACCTGCGCAACCCCTGTTGAAGTCACCGGGTAGCCGCCGCGGTGGGCAGCGGTCCGTGGAGGCCCCACCCTCCTCTTGCTGCGCTGACCTGCCGACACTTCGTTCCGACACTCCGGCCGGCACAACCGCGCGAATCCCGCACTTTTCAAATTTCGAATTCCGAACCCACGCGGAACGCAACAATATTGCGTTCTCGTTGTGTGTGATAAACTGTGCTTTGTACTTATTTTTATTTCAATTAAAAAAGTGAAACGTATTGTCAAAATTGTGATTTATCAGTGGTTTTTATTAATTTTAAGTGGAAAAATAAAGTTTGAGCTTTGGCGCTACGAGATACCTCGAGAAGGTAAGTTTGATACAACTTTAGTTTCTATCTAGCTGCTTATTTCGAAAGGCGGGCATCCATATTTTACTACAATTTAATACACGCACAGGTACCTACAACAAGTGAAGTTGTAGTTATGATGACAGAGTTTTCAGTGGCTAACTATGCAATTAAAACATTTTATTATGAACTACTTATTTATAATGTTTTCATTATAAAAATGCATTCAAATTATATTTGTAATAAATCAATTACTTAAGGTTACTCTTACTACAATGTATCAAATCAAATCAAATTTCTTTATTTGCGTAATTCCAGGTAGGTAGTTATAATATAAGTGAATATCAAAGAAAAGTTTCGTATCTACCTACCTACAATTAATTAATAATATACACAAATAAAATTATAATAAAAATAAACCTTTTTAAAAACAAGCTTTTATTCTGAATTTCGAAAGTTTGTATCGCGCATGGAATTTATTCCTCTTTTTCTCTGTTTGCGCTACAAGCTTTCGAAACTCAGAATAAAAGCTTGTTTTTAAAAAGGTTTATTTTTATTATAATTTTATTTTACACTTTTTAGTATATCTTAATCTCAGGACCCTGGACATTATCTAACACTAAAGTGCTCGAAAAGACAAATCCAACGAACCCAAACTCGATGAGTTTCCGCCGTTTTGTTTAGGAGTTCCTATGGCCACCTCCCGACTCCATCATCAGACCAGCTCAATGGTACCATAATATTGCATTGTCATCGTACTTACATAAGTGTACCAAATTTCAGCTCAATCGGTTGAGGAGAACTGGTCTTAAATTCAGTTGCAAGATTTGTCCCACACATACCTACTAACAAGTGAAGTCAATATAAAGCTTGTAATAAAAACATATCTAAACTCATTTCTAAGTTTTATACTCATTTGCAAGGTACCCTTAAGAATGTAAAAAGTAAGTGCTTTTTTTTCCAAATTGGCTTTTCTGTTGTCACGGTCGACGCGCTGTGAGGTGCACTTCCCTTCTTCCACTCGCCACCCCTTACTTAACTTACTTTTAACCGGTTTTTGCGTCCGCAGGTCCTACAACTTAATTCGTTCCAGTCCATGAGCATTGTTTATTTTACTAAAAAAAATGCTTAATATCTACCTACATCATAATAAAATTGATAGTTTACGTGGAAGTGATTTCTAGGTAACTTTACAAGTTACTGAGACACTTAATTTCTAACTTATCGTGTATCTACGTAAGATGTAAGGAAAAAGTGGACTAACCCAAGAGAGTTAATATCGGATAATATTATTATGTCTCTAGCATTTTCAACAGTAATGATCTTATTTTGAGTCTGGTTAATGATTAACTTAATAATTATATGTATTAAATAAAATGATGAAGTTACCGAATTTCTTGCCTCTATCTATATCAAGATGGTTTCCGTCGAAGGAGGTAATAATTCTGTGATTTGTTTGTTGAAAATTTTGGACCCATATTAAAACCAAAACTATTTAACTATAGTCATAAGATCTATTCTTATATTGAAGTTCCACCACACACAAAACCTTCAATTTACGCCTGTACGATACTTTACTGTTGTGATAAATTAGGATAAATAAAATAGGTTTCATACCTAATAACTATAATGTTATACCTAGCTCATTAAAATAATTAGGATTTGGCAATGAAAACGTTATTTTAATAGATAAACAATTTTCAAATGAACCCAAATTGCCCATTGTATCTAAATGCAATTATGAGTTTATGCTCGATTTACGAAAGATTACTTTAACCCTTCACACTCCTAATGTGATACATTGTCTCAGCTGGGAACAGAAGTCAAGGTCGTGGGAAGCCGCGGGCGAGGGTCGCTCGTTGATAACAATAAAAATACTGTTTTAGATAACACGCATACTTTTCTTGGTTAGGCATTATGCTGTAACTTTTATTGTTTCTGGTTTCCATTAATTCAGTAATTAATTTCAGTTCTTTTTAAAACAGGTTTGCCAATCATGCTGATACAGGCGCTACACTATTGAAACTTATTTGTGACGAACGTAACATTAACGCGTGTAATTTATTAAAGTTAAATAAGTTACCTTAATTACGAATTTACGAGTAACTTTACAGGTCAACCTGAGGTAAATAAATTATCGATGGCGTGGCTCATAACCAACAGCCAACAAGTCTTAACCAACTAAAAGAATTACTTAGCTTACTTATTCGGTAACCTACTTATAAACTTATCAAACCGTTACCACACTTTAGGATTACCAACATTCAAATGGAATAGGTATTATGAGGTCCAAGGCTAAATTCGCTTTGAACCCTCGTGCGATCAGCCCTAATTAGTATACTAGTTACACAAAACCGACACTTTGTTAACTCTTTGTTTTGCACTAGACGTGATGTATAAATGACTACTAGTTAATAAATATATTATTGGCTCCAACATTACTTAAATCTTCTTACTCATTGAATGTGTGTTCACGGCCTGCTACTAAGCTGCGCTCCGGCGCCCAACGGAGAGCCCCAGTTGAGCACGCGAGCGCGCCTGCGCACATTGAAACGTAATGCAAGGAACTTTCTTAAGTTTATTATGATATTACCCACCTAAAACAAAACACATACTTACCGACTTGAAAAGACACATGTCTATCTTATCACTTGATCATTATCTTTGATTTGAGATTACATCAGCTGAATTCTCAACGTTGATTTACTCAAAAACTGGGGTTAAGTCAATTAAAAATAAAAATACTAGTTAATTCATAGTAGAATAGACACGTCTTAGGTCTTTAAATACTGTCTTGATAAGTTTCACTTTGTCTTCATCATCTAAAGCTTGTCGTTGTCAATCGGAATTCGCAAGTAGCCCGCCCCCGCTATCCAATTTTCATAGGTTTTCCACCGAGTGGGCACGATGAACTCGTCTCTTGTTTTCATCGTAACTCTATTAGCTCACGTGCGTGCTGTACATAGTGTTAGTGTATAGTACGGTGTACGGTGCTCAAAACACGGTGTAACAGTGGTTCCGAGCGAGTTGCGCGGGCGCCGGTAAGCGGAGCGCAACGCGGTCACGTCTATAGAATCGTAGACTCCTACACCGTCCATGGGTTACTTAAATTCAATATGTAACTAGTCAGTTCATGTGACTAATATAAGAGCAATATATTTTTTGACTAAGATGGCTTACTTTTTACAATCTTTCGATTAGCAGTCTATTACGAATTGAACTCACATAATAAATGTGATTGAAATAACGGAAAATATTGTTAAGTATGTATCCAGCTCCAGGGCCAAAAGCCTCTGATGTAGGTAATCATTAGTAAATAGATACGTTTCTCGTCTCGTCTCGTCTTTATTTGCGACCCACACACCCCGGTGTGTGAGATTGTCCTTTCGCTCTTGGCCTATTCTATTGCTTTCGTTTAAAAAAAACAATGGGTTATCGAAAACTTGAAGGTTCAATTGAATCCAAAAATATTGTTTTTCATTGCGATTGTGTTCAACACCTGTCGATCGCAGGCGCTCGTTACAAAGTCACAGTTAGCGACGGCGAGCCACTGGGCGTGACGCCCCTCGATATCAGATCACGCGTGCTGTCAAGGCTCCAGCGACCTCTTACTTAAATTAGTCCTTCCTTATGGTACCTAATAATTATTTTTATGTAGATAAATTTTATGTATTTAATACGTTTTAAACGGTAACTACATCTAACTTGCCAAATTGTGAAACTCCATCATTTAGGTACTGTGCTACTGATAAACTACCATAAAATTTCCATTTGTTTCTGTTCGTAATGATACGGCGGGTCAGTACTGTTGCATATTTGAGCAAATTGCTCGAATAATTGGAACTCTACCAAGCTTTCACCAAGATTAATAACTCGGTTATGGTTTTGAATGTCATAAGGTGTCAAGTTGCATTTTTGAAGCAAATCTCAGTGTTGTTAGAAAATCACAAGTTACATCACTGTTTGCCAGTATTGGCCTATCTCTAGCATTTGATTGATCTGAGGAACAATGGTCATATGCAAATGTTCCGTAGAAAGCGAACGCCCGCGCACTGGTGCGATTTTGACGCTCTTTTTTCCGCTTTCTAACCGTACAGGCTTAGACGCCACATATGCTTCAGGTTTCGTTGGTGTGTTATAATAGTAACTTATCAAGTAGTCCAAAATTTGAATTAAAATTGCTTGTGTTGAGGTTTTCTAAAAATGCGATACAAGCATCGTGCGTGCTCATAGCACTCCAGATTTGCTTGTCTGTTGCCTCAGTGGAGTAATTTTCATAAAAATTACATGTTTTTCTTCAGTTTTCATACAAACTATTCCCTTGTTCCCCCGAAAACTCCACTAAACGTAATTGGTAGTTGTCTTGTAATTAACTTCATTTGAGAAATTGACTGCTTCGGATCAGAGCACTAGCAAAATATGATTTAATAATTCGTTCTCCAAGTTCTACCTATGTCAGTCGATCTGTTCAAGATAAATATGCTAGCTCAAAAATATTCATGATAGAATGAAACTTCCACTCAATTTTAAAATATTTCGTCGGCTATCGTGCTGACAGGTTTTTATGTCTTTCACAGGGAACGCTAAAACGGATAGTTATTACATATGTTTGCTGCAAACTGGCAAGTAGGTGTAAGTGCGTTTAAACGCAGCGAAAGCGATTCTGCGCCGATTGTAGTGTTTATTTGATAATTATCTAGAAATTGCCATAGGCATTATGTTTGGTGAGCGTGACTGTGCCGTATGCCACATTTCAGTGAAACGTGTGCTTAATACTACTGAGTTGAAGTAACTAAGACTCATTTATTGCGATTAAAATCTTAGGAATGATAGTTGCACTTTCTAATAACGTTTTACAATTTATTATGTACTTAATCAACAGCCATTACAGGCTAATTACCAAGGTGCACATAGGTAAATATTATTACTCGTAAAAAGAATTTAGGAAATCCAAGTGAGGTCCGAGGTAACGTCCGAATTCTTATCATATCTCTTTTTATACCTACCATAGATGGAATACTTCAGCTCATGTGTCCCTTGACGTTACCCTTGTTGGTTACAACGCTTTTGTTTTTCCTTCAGATCGGCATCGCAGCTCGTGGCGCGCGGCGGCCCGGCATGCGGCCGCGGCGGTAGCGGCAGCATGGCCGCCGTCCCCCTCGCTGCCGCGGTGCTGCTCGCGCTGATGCCGCCTCTCCGCGCGCAAGGTACCGCTCCTATTGTCCTGCTCCACAGAGTCACAACAGCGCAGTTGTGAGGCCCCTAGCATACGGCTACAGCGGTGTACCTACTCCTTCTTGGCACAGCAATCAGTAGAACTTCTAACTTGGCAAAACTTGAAGACGTCACAAAAAGACGTGTTGCGAACTTTTTGGCTACTTTGGGTGTTACGAACTATTTGACGCTGACTGATGTACTATGTTTCATTGGCGAACTATTTTCGCCAATATTTGTAGAAGGGATCGTTTGCTCCAGCAGCCGTCTATCCTTCGACACGCTCTTATACCTGTGGCCTCTTGATCATAGTTAGCTAACAGCATAATGCAGTTACGGTCAATTTAAACGACTCTCAAGCTTTCTATCCATTTACCAGCATGTCTCAACATTGCAGGGTCTCAGCTCTCAATCTGTTTCCCTCGCGTGCCGATACCAAATAGTCCATATGCCTCAATTACAATATTTTAAATGTTTTTGAGCAATGGCGCATGTCGCAAGTCGTGTCTGTTGAATAGCGGACGAACTAATTAGCCTAATGGATGTTTTACAAGCAATATACAACGGTAATAATGAATATTGCAAAGTGTCGGAGCGCTCGCGCACGCTATGACCCGACACAGATCTTATTTCACACTTTTCGGCAGTAACAAATTATGCTATATAGAAAACCGATAGCAACTTTAAGTATTTCATTGTGTTTTCACTTTTAACTAACCATACATAAGTCATTATTGATTGACTCTAGTTAGGTACTTAGGTAAATACTCTTAATGCACTTCCTAATATGACTCTACCATTATCCGATTCGGGACATGCAAACGTTGAGAAGGAGCAGCATCAAAAAGTAACTTATTTACCTAGTTTATTTGAAACAAACGTATATAATGCAAGCTTGAACTGTTTTATTCAATATTTTTTACATAATATTTTGTCTAATATTAGCGCTTCTTTGATGCGTTTTCGATCTACTCGTAAGAACATTAATACTTTTCTAGCTCGCTGCTACAAATACAAAACTTAAATTATAGCAGTCTAACCGTAAGCGTGCATGTGTACCTTCAACGTGAGTAGCTATTACACTACGGCTGCTATACACTTTTGTAAATCACGGATACGATTTGATTGAGCATAGCTTCAGTGTGGTAACGCACTTTGCACTTAGTATAAGAATTCCATCTCAAAATTAGAAGCTTCTTTTTTAAAGCACTCACTATTTTTTAAAAGCAGGTCATCAGTCCTTGATCGAAGCGATATAAATAAGCCTGCATTCTAGGAATGTCGAGGAATGTACTCTACATTGGTAATTGCAGCCCTCGCGTGCCTCCCGCGCCTCTTACAATATTGTTTGATCGCCGTCGGCCACGATGACGTGCGTTGAACCTTGCTCCGTTTAATTTAAAAGGTATCAAAAGTACGAACAAAAAAGTAAAACAAGTTCGCAGTACATTCCTTTCAGTATTTCTTTTATTTTATTGTATCAAAAATTGCTAGTAGAACAGTCAACCCTAAATTTTAGGTAAAGTAAATAAAGTTAGTCAGCAATCTGCTATTAATTGTATGTTGTACATAGAACATTCTTTATTGCACACTTAGGTGATAACATGTTCTAAACAACCAGAGAAAGAAAACATTTAAATAGAGTTTAATTTGAAAAGGAAAATTTTATTGTATTTTATTAAATTCGTAAACACATATTTTAGAAGAAGAATTTAGAAGTCGATCATAATATTATGTACTCGCACCTTTATTTTGTGAGTCAAGTACGAAAGATACGGAACTTGTAAGCCTACCTTAAAAGATTAGTCCAAATCAAATAACGACCGCTAACAATGACAAAAATTAGGGCATGTCACGATCAAATGCAAAGCTCTAGGCCATAAATTGATTAAACGCAATCAGGGTGAGTGACCGCGGCGAGAACAAAGGCCACTAGCCTCTACTCTACATATGACTTTGGCATTTACACCAGCCGACTTTCACTATTGAAAATTACGTGCAAAATACGAAATGAACTCTATAGATAGTTCATTTCGTATTTTGCACGTAATTTTGTTGCACTTGATACTCATTATATGGAGGACATTAAATTAACAACGAAGGCAGATAAACCTAACTAAAAGTATGTTTTTTTTTTTCAATAATTCAAATAATTTGAATAGGTACCTACATAAAGTTTATATATATTTAGGCTTACGGCTTTATCTGAAAAAATATCAGTAGGTTGTATTATATCACAAAAGTATTAAAATATTAGTTGTCAGCTTTAATTCAGTTTGCACCTATGGTTTGCACGCATAGTTGTACAATTAACCATTGTTGTTCTTACCTAGTTTGTGGCAATCTTGTTGATCTTTTTTAAATAAATAAAATAAAACTATAGTTATGGCTTCAATGAAGACGAATTCCAATAAATCGAACCATATAAACGTCTCCGTAAGCGTGCATCGTCGCATGCATGGCTTGCATGGTGCGCTATGCAAATGACCTGCTAAGCTACGCCGAGCATTTGTTACTTCCTAGTAGGGATGAACACTTTCTTAAGTGTTTTCAGTGCAATTTCCCGAGCTTAAGAAATCATATTTTTTCTCGTGATCATTGTTTCTTGATTTCATAATTTCCAATTATTGAAATCAAAGAGTTTCACTCAGAGCTTGCAGTTTCTCAACAGCTGTGTTGGACTTTAAGCTTCCTATTTCATTAATTCTGAAGACACAAAACCAAACGATGACGACGATTTATCAAAACGATAACTCTAAACTGTCAAAATGAAAGTATGATAATGGAAGAAGTTCCCCAATTAAATCTTCTTTAGTAAATAATTATTTTTAATGTATACCTACTCTTAGTAATTTAAGGCAAGCAAAGAAAATAGGTTACGGTTACAGTTACTTAGTTAAGTTACTTGCTTATCCTATTTAAATTTTATGATTATTATTTAAAGCAAAAGTAACGGTTTTAATGTCTTGGAGCATTCTTAACAAATCAACCGGAAAATTAAATGCTAATGTGCGTTAATATTGCAGTGCGGTTGAAAGAAAATGATAATATGTACTTAATATAATCAAGTGCTCAGCGGTGAACAAAGATGACGAATTGCTTTAAACAATTATTAAAATGATTGAAATCAGTTTTTTAGATTTTTAAGAATGTAGGTAATTCATTACTTTACATACTAAAGAAATCTAAGGACGTAAAAATAAATTGATACTAATCTTAAAACCAACATGCCTACATGTTTTATTACGTTAATTAATATAGGTATGCCTTTACTTCGGGTAGGAGTGTCCAGTCCATGGGTATTAAATATCCTGTCGCCGCATGGTGTGCGTGATCGAAAGCATTTTCTTCTTGTGTAAAAGCATACAAGTAGGTAAATGTACGATTAGTTAGAAGAAATTGTGCTTGTGTAACAATGACAAAACATACTACACATCTTGATTATGACTTCTAAGACATTGTAGTCGATAACTAACCAAATTCATTCAATTCGAGATTGAAAAACGTACAGTAATTTCCTCCGCTTTTCCGATGATTGCCGTTGCGTCAGCGCAGAATGACCGCGAACAATCGTTCGTTGCTGATTCCTGCCCCTAATAGCCGTATTCCGACGACAAAATACCGGATTAATGCAAACTAGACAGACTCTATATTTATTGTAAGCAAATGTGGTGCAACACTAAATATACAGTGCAGCAAACCTATTTCCTAACACAGCAGTTGTGTATGACGATATTATGTAGGTAGATAGTCATTACTGAAAATTACTATGCAATTAAACATTTTTAGTTAGAGCTAAGTGTTTATTAGAAAATACTAAGGAAGGACTTTTACATACTGATACATACAGTATGTAAAAGTCCTTCCTTGTGTGTAATATACATCAGTGATAATAGGAAGCTAGAAAGTTGAATAGTCACTGGTAAAGATATGGTATGATTGTAATATCAATACACTCATTTCTGTACTGTTACTGTTGCACTCATATCTACTTATGTAGCAACGATAACGCTTTGATTTATTAACTTAGACGTATCACAGATAATATGACGTATTTAAATACTATGTAAATAATAAGCCATATTATGTAAATACCACAACCGTAACTTGACACAGTTAGGTTCAGGGAGGAAATATTGGGCCAGTTGACCCGGTCGCGGCTGGCGGCACTTCCTCCTATTTAGCCCTACAGTTACGCGACAAGCAGCGCGACCGCGGGAAGTATCGCAACGATCGGAACATCGGTCGACGGCGTTAGACACGCTGAGGACAGACCGGTCAAATGCAAATTAATTACGGGTTTCATAATGTGATAAATTTAAAACGGTAGTTTTCTAAACTTAATTTTTGCAATCACATTGTAGAGTCGATGTCTTCTTGAGCAAAACCACGTTACCAAAATAAATATTATATTATTACTTACGGCAAAGTCAGCTTATAAAAGTGTTCTAATTGAAATAGAATCAGACTCTATTCTTTATAGATTAGACATGTAAGCCTGGTCTTTTCTATTCAATGGCGGAATTGCGAAATATGATCTAACACTCAAAGATGTTGTAAAGAAAGTGTGAGGCTATTGTTGCTCGCCGCCGCAACCACTAAAGCAGCACAACAAACCGCAACGCTTTGTTGCACACGAGCCATATCTTATGTAAAAACTTCAGTGTAAGTCTAGTCATCAAATATTCAATGACGTAAGCGATTTATTGTGACACTAATAATGCACAGTACCTAGTTGAAAATACTTTCAGCATCTCTCCCAAGACATCATATCGTCGCAACTCTCGTTAGCTACGGATACGTTTTTTTACCTCTCGACTACAATATTGGGATTCGTATTTACTGAAATGTGCGGCAGTGTAAAAAAGATCACACTACTGATGTCCTCCAATCGTTTGCGCGACGTATTATTGTATGTGCGTATAAAAATCTTCGCCCTTCACGCGGCCGCAGGATGCGCTAACACACTGCGTGTCGGATGCGCATTGTTCTC